ATTAATAGCTAAGAAATTAGGTAGGCAGAGAGGTTTTCAGATGGAAAACGGTCTGCCAAGAGCTGTGGCATAGATCCTGTAGTGTTCTCTGGAATAAGTTATCATCAGCTGAACACCAACTCCTGTGTGGCACAGCAGCCTCCAGGCAGGAATGCCTTGAGGAGGTAACTGCAGCCATTTTGTGCCACTTGGGTGTGAGCAGAGGTGTCCCAGCCCTGGGGATGTGCAGAGAGCAGCAGGCCGTCTCCCTGTCCTCCTCCTGCCCACAGCAGATCAGTTCTTTCTAATGCAGGGACTGTGAACTGCAGCTGTGGTAGAAGGTGTTCTGGGTGCTGTGGTTCTGCAGACTTTAATGCCAGCAGCAAGGTCACAGCCACCAGCTATAGCAGTTTGGGGCCCAGCAGCCTTGCCCTGCCCACCCTGTGCTGCTCTGTGTGCCCGCCCAGTGGCTGCAGAATGGAGTGCTGTGCTGCACAGCCGTGGGGCTGAATGCAGGGCTGTGGCATTCTTGGGGTCAGGCAGAGCCCTGCAGCATTTGGTCACTTGTACTCCTCCTTTCCAAGGCTCATTTCCAGAAATCAGATTGCCCAAAATATGAGGCCAGTTTTGCCTTACAAGCATTTCTCATTTGACAAATAATCCACAGCAATGTGATGCTGGAGGACCGAATGCATAGCAGATTGTGTCTCCTTATTTTCATGCTGTCTGTCCTTCCTGGAACCCACCCTGCCTTTTCACGTGGCCGCTGCCTTTCCCCTGCAGGCTCTCCAGGAACGGCTGGCCGGGTGTGCAACCAGACCTCCCGCGGCATGGACAGCTGTGAGGTGATGTGCTGCGGCCGTGGCTACGACACGTTGCGTGTCAGCAGGATGACCAAATGCGAGTGCAAGTTCCACTGGTGCTGCGCGGTGCGCTGCCAGGACTGCCTGGAGGAGGTGGACATCCACACATGCAAGGCGCCCAAGGCTGCGGGCTGGGCCTCCCGGACATGACGTGTGGTGCAGGTCTGCGCAGGGAATGCTTCCGAGGCCTTTGCTACATTTACGCCAGTTTTGTCTTTCATTACACAGAAGCTGCCCACTGATCATGCCGAATTTGCAGCATTCACTGCACGGTTCAGCAGGACCATGCTGTTGCACAATTTGTGTGGACCGACAGCTGTGCTGGAAGGAGCTGCCACCACTGGGCCTCCCATCCGACACAGACCCCCATCTCCTCACCGGAAGCTCTTGCTGCCACCACAAGCACGGTGGGGCCCCAGGATGAGGCCTATCCTACCGGGCCTCCCGCTGCCATGGCTGTGGCTTCCTCCAGAGGACCTGCTTGTCTGGACGCTCAGCCTGTGAGGCTGCGGGGCTGGGCACTGGTCAGGGGCCCCACCATGGAAAGCTCTGAGGCCAGGATGATTCCACGGCTCTGCTGGAGTTGAATTTGTCCATCTACCCAACACGGAGCTGTGTGTGCGCTGCGGGGCCCTCTGGGGCATGAGCTGTGCTGGGCAGAGACTGGCCCATAGCAAAAAGGAGAGAACAGGAAATGCATTCAACTGCAACAGTCTCATCTGCTATAAAAGAGTGAAAGCAAATGCCTTTGGTATAAATTTGTGACAGTTTGCCTTGAGAGCTTGTTAAAGGTCATTAATATTAACCACTGATCTGAAGGATCAAAGAAAATAGCTTTGTTTCTGAGCCCAATGACGTCTGGAAACAGGATGCTCAACTACGCAGGGATAGGGTTTCCTATTTGTCATTTACATAATAAACAGGAAAACATGCAGAAAGCTGGTGGAGAAGGCAATGCCTTATCTTAATAATTGGGTTTTGTTCTATAGAGTCTATCAGCTCTCACGTTGTTTTAAATTTAATAAACCTATTCAGTGTGCTTAAACTGATACAGTTCAGGTGCAGTGAGGCTTGCTCCAAATCCACACTACACAAACCCACAGCTGATGAGGAGCACGCTGGCCTTTGATGGTGGCAGTGGCAGACTGCCTGGGCCCATGTCCTGCCTGGCTCAGCACAGAAAGCTGAGCGACAACAGTGGCTGCAGGTGACGAGGCCTTGGGACCGTGGCCTCGCTGGAGAGATGCTGGGGGCTGTTGTGGACGGAGATTGTGACTCTGGGTACAAACCGAGCGCTGCTGAGAACAGCCCATGCATACATGTGTGCAGTGGGATACACGTACCCCAGGGTACATCTAAGGTCAGTGGTTATGATATTGGCCTCATTGCTGAAAACTCTGGTTGTAGGTTGGACAAGCAAAATTTCACACCTGATTTTATTTAGAGGTCAGCCCTAAGGAGAACTTTCATTCAGATTTCACTGTGAAATTGAATCTGCATGGAGTTTGTAGTCTGAGCAAAGCCTTACACTTAAAGAACCTAGAAGCAGTACAGTATTATTTGTGTGTGCCACGTGTTTGGAAAGATTCAGGGATCTTCTGAGTGATGTACAAATTCAGCAGGTAATAATGCTGGAAGTATTTTGATATTCTGGAAAAAAGGGCGCCTCAGTTCTGCGAGGGAACTTGTCCTGGGAAGTCAAATAAAAGAGGATGAGATCAGCCTCACCTGCTTCTTAATTTCATCCTTTGGTTCACAGGATCGTTAGGCTAGAAAGGACCTCTAAGAGCATTTGATCCAACCATCCACCTACAACAACAGCAGGAGAATGCACCTGAGTTCTGCAGCCCCATGTAAAGTGTTTCGGGATCATTGTATTAAAGGTGCCAGAAATTTTATTCTGGCAGAAGAAATACTGGGAAGCCTGGAGCAAGACTGACACCTTACTGGGAAATGTGGCTTAGATACACATCTTGTTACTTAAGCCCTTATTTCACCTATACAAGAAATGATGTAGAAATTATAGAATCATAGAATGGTTCGGGTTGGAAGGGGCCTTTAAGATCATCTAGTTCCAACCCTCTGCTATAGGCCGGAACACCTGCCCCTAGACGAGTTTGCTCAGAGCCCCCTCCAGCCTGGCCTTGAATGTCTCCAGGGAGGGGGCAAATAATGCATGAATAATGTAATGATGAATTTGCAGATAGAATGACCTCTAAAAACACATTTTCTGACTGCTTTGGGGCTTTTAATTTGCTTTCATCTTAGAGGGTTTTTAAAAGTTCTTGGAAACTGCACTTCCTGAATGCTCGGCACTATGGCTGCTGTCACTGTGTGGGCTGCTCACTCTCATCAGCACTTCTTCTGCCTCTTCCACAAAGAAAGCACTCCTGGGAGCTTCTGCCATTTCAGATTGGCCAGAAGTCAGAGTGCTCCTCTCTGCACTAAGGCAGAGGCTTCCATCTGTCAGCAGAAGCGCAGGCTGCACCTCTGATCTGAGCTGTGCTGAGCTCCCCAGCAGCAGAGCCCCAGGCTGCAGCCTCTGTCCAGTGGCAAAGAACCCCAGTCTGACCGCCTGGTCTCAGCTGCCCACCATTCCAATTACAGCTCAAAAGGTACGTGCCAGATTAAATCCATCGCTCCTTGCTGCTAAGGGAGGTGGATATTAGAAATAGCAGAAATAATCATATATGACATTTTTGAGTTCTTCTAAGTTCCTGTAGTTCAAGTGAAGGCTCTGATTGTTCATTCCAAAGAGTTAAGCATTCTTTTCTCTCCGTCTGTTAAAATAATGATTTCCACACAGACAGTCGTTCACATTACCTCTTCCCCTAGCAGCAGGCCAAACCTGTACCTTGATTGCTGGTAAACATCAGCATCTGTACATAGCTACGTAGACACCAATATGCAAACACACTTCTATTAGGACTGTTAATCACAACACTTTCTTCTTCTGAAATGTAGGGCATTATATAAACTAACTCCAAAAGGTTTTGAGAAGGCTGGGATGAGTGACACAAAACCACAGGACAGTTGAGAGCTGACTGAGCACAGCCACCAGAAGCAGACTGTGCCTGCCCCTTCTGGTTCCACAGCACTGCTGTGAGACAACAGGTGCATGAATTACCCTTAGTTTTACCACTGCTCGTGTGCAGGTGTGCCTGCTTTGAGGGTGTTCCCTGTGGCTGTTTTAGCAATTCAGATGCAAAACCAAGAATATGAACATTTCCACATGTTCATGAGCAAACCTCCTCCTGCTATCTCAGGCCACATCTCACATGAAACATAAGCCACACTAATTATGACACAGGAGAGGACTGGAGCACCTCTTCTATGAGGAAAGGTTGAGGGGACTGGGCTTGTTTAGCTTGGAGAAGAAAAGGCTCTGGGAGACCTCATTGTGGCCTTCCAATACTTGAAAGAAGCCTATGAACAGGAGGAGGAACGGCTGTTTACGAGGGTAGATTGTGATAGGACAAGGGGGGATGGTTTTAAACTGAGACAGGGGAGGTTTAGGTTAGATATTAGGAGGAAGTTTTTCACTCAGAGGGTGGTGACGCACTGGAACAGGTTGCCCAAGGAGGCTGTGGATGCCCCATCCCTGGAGGCATTCGAGGCCAGGCTGGATGTGGCTCTGGGCAGCCTGGTCTGGTGTTTGGCGACCCTGCACACAGCAGGGGGGTTGAAATTAGATGAGCGTTGTGGTCCTTTTCAACCCAGGGCATTCTATGATTCTATGACATCACAGCAAACTACTTTGCAGCCAGCCATGGGGCTCTCTGCCTTCTGTGTTCTTCCCAAATCTCACTCTTACAGCCAGTTTCTCCTGGCACGGGGCTGCCACGTTTCTCACCATACAGCAGTGTTTACTTTAACACAGCTCGCTTGGCCAAAAGTCTTTCTCCTGTGTAGATGAGAGAATGTGTGATCAAAGGGCAAAAATAAAGCAACCATTAAGGAATACTCTCCTTTTACACCAACTCCAGCAATGGGAGTTTCATCTTTGCTCTTACTGACAAACGAACATATCTCAGTGCCTTAAACTGTGAATAAGTGCTTTCTCATTAACTGAGTTGTGGTGAAGCAGATGCTCCAGACACACTTAAGCACACAAAGCACAATGTGAGCTTTGAAGAAGAAGCCAAAAGACAGCAATGCTGCAATACACAAAAGTTTATTTTTGTCTTTTCTGAAGGCAAAATATAATAGAACCTAACATCAATGAATTTTGTACAACGAAACAGTTTTTATATGAGAACAGACAATCCATGAAGATTTTTTCAGTCTTAGAACTGCTTCCCTTTTTTATCATGCTTTCTTGTGGTCAACCAAATGTTGGCACAGCAGATGTCGTGGCAGTCAGTCAGCGGGTGCTCCCTCAGATCCTCGTCAGCTGGTGCCACAGGCTGGAGGGCAGGATGCTTTCTACTTTCTCCATCACAAAATTCAAAGGGGCAAAGAGGGTGCTGAGAAACTGCAAAGAAAGCAGACACACATTCAGATCAAAATCCTGGAGACAATACTCAATGCAAAGCTGTCCAACATGACAAGCTCTTGCTGTTTGCTTCTGTAAAACCCTCTAAGCACGATCAAAATTAAGTAATTCAAGCATAAAGCCCTTATGCCAAATTCTGAGCCTTGTGCATCCCCAGATTTCTTGGTTTTGCAGCCAGGCAAGAGAGATCCCCATTTTTACAAAACTTAAAGCGGTGAACTACAAAAGTCCCCCACATCTCATATCCCAGGCTCGGGCTCACACTAAATCCACTGAAAACTCAACCCCAAACCAACTGAAGCATGAGAGAAAGGCTCTCCCATCACTGCAGAATTTGTCATGACCTGCCACAGACAAAATGTGTGTCTTCAGGTTTGAAATGGTTCTCTGAGGCGTCATTAACTGGGATTTATCTCCATGTCCTCCTACTGTGGTGCAGTCAGTAACAGAAGAAATTTCAATACATGAACATCATGACAGACATGACAAAATCAAGTTAATAAAGACCAGTTTAGCACAGGAAAAAAAATATTGCAAACTGTGCACCTGAGAACAGAAGTAGTCACATACAGCTATTCTGGGGCTCTGTGTAGGCACAGGAGCATAAAATAATATGCAATGTTGACTACCTTGAGAATGAGCAAAGGCCAATGTCAGCTCCCAGCACTCAGTCACCAGAACTGGTGGCTGTGAAATACAGTAAATTGAGTTTTTGTGAAATGCAGTAAGTACCAATTTGCTGTAAAATAAGCCTGGAGTGTGATGATGATATTACTTCTGTGAAATGCTTTTGAGATTGGCCAGCATAAGAGAAAGAATAATTTTGAGCTACTAAAACACAGTTTAATGCTGTCTGTAATATACCACATAGCAGTGAATACCAAGCATACTGGAATAGGTACCTCAGTGCTCGTAACCACAGCAATAGCCAACAAATAGCTCCTCTTTTAGTTAGAAAACCAGTTACTTATGAAACTACCTTCCTTAAAACTGAAAGGGAAGAGCTACAGCTGGCAAACCCCTGTTATTCTGTTCTGATACAACTGCATTTCAAAGAGATATCTGCCATGACTTTCTGCAATCTCATGTCCCTCAGCTGCTTTTCCCAGAGCAGACAGCACTGTGAGCCTTTCCGAATTAAAGTCTTTTTGTGAGTCACTGAGTGAATGTCACATGCTCTTCCTATGTAAAAGAAAAGCTAATCTGCTGTTTGCGGTGATTTATGAGGATGGAGATCCACCTAAATCCAGTCACTATAGCTGCTAACTGACATAGCAACTGTGTCAATACAGGTTCAGAGATCTTCGGTAATCTAGTAATTTTACACACACAGTGCAGCCCATGTCTTGATTCTGTCTGTGCTTACGTTATTAGTCAGAAGCTTTATATGCTCTGATAGGCAAAGCTTAACAGTCACATACAGAGTCTTGTGGTATCTGTTCTATTAATATCAATGGCAGCTGTTCCATACAAAAATGAAGAGAGTTTTCTAGTCTTCTTCTAGTCTGACTCTACCCCTGAAATGGCTTTGGAGCTTGCAGGCTTCACACAATTCAGAAACAATAGCTAGCACAGCACCTGTGTCACTTCTCATACCTCTGTCTGGTTGCACTCAGAGACCACAGGCAGGTGAGTCAAGCTCACACAAACACACTGCCAAGTTTTGTCTGTTCCAGTAGCCTACAACTGCCTGTTGCAGGCACATGAAGTGCAAAACCTCATCATGCTGCCAGTTTGACAGACAGCCCTTGATTCAGGACACAGGGCTGAAAAGTACAGGGACAATTGCAACAGGCATCAACTGCCAATCTCAGAAAACTGAAGATTACATGGAAAGAGCCCTCAAACAGGTCACGCAAAGACTCAAGGAGAGGAAAAAAAAGCTTAACAAAGAAGTTTAAGAACATATGCCTGAATTGCATACTTACTGTCTACCAAGTGCATACATACACATTTAAGAAACAGGAGAAAGTAATCATGTTTCAGCCCCGAGCCCCACAAAATCAAAAGCACCAGAGACACAAGACCTACATCAGGTACAAATATGTTTGAGAAAATATATTATTGCAGAGGATAATCCATATTTGTTGAAGGAGCAGACAGAATTTTGACATCCAGCAACTCTTCATGAAATTGATGTTTTTTCATATCCTAGAATATCCTACCAGGGCAATGATATCCTTGGCTTTGCAATGAGAAAAGCATATCAGCACTATTCATGGCCTTTCCCCCTCAGTCTCCAACTCTTACTAATCCTTGGTGGATTATAAAAGCAGAATTAGCACACAGTTCCTTGGATGTAGTTAAGAAAAGTTATGAAGGAAATACTGAGATTGCTTTTTTCATGGCAGTTTGGGGAAGGAATGCAAATTTCTCCTCATTAACAACACGCTGTGTTTCTGCTTATGTGAAGAGTTTTTATTGCACTGGAAAGCATGGCACCTCTACACAAAAGGGGATACTCACTGCTTTTGCGAAGACCCCCATAAGCTCTGGGAACTGATGTGTCAGGAGAGCCAGCATGGCTGTGAAAGAACATAGGCCAGCAGTGAAGAGGATGAAGAAGGGAAGCTCTTTCTTGGGGTAAACTGAAACTTCATGAAATGCTGCAGGAAAAAGAAGGAAGAATGCACTGTATGTAAAAAAAAAAAAAAAACAACATTCTTACCTGGTTTAAACAGCCACAGTCATGACTAACATTATGTGACTGATGTTTTAATTTGGAAAGCCTATTAGATCTCAGTTTCTCACTGTCCTTTTAATTGTATGCAATTAAAGGCTGTGGACAGGTATGAGGAATCTATTTAACAGGTTTCTATCTGCCACAGTACGTTAAACCCTTCCCTGCTCAAAGCCAACCATTCTGCAGTGAAATGCATTTCCTGTGCTGCAAGAGCAAAACATGACGCTGTGTACATTGCTAAAAGAATTCCTTACTTCTAGAATTTGAAAAGAAAAATGAGTTTTGCAATTAGAAGGAGCGCTGAGCTATTCTGCATGACTTTGTCATTCCTAAATCTCCTGACACTCCACCCTCCCCTGCTCAGTATCCCTCTGAGTAAAGCAGGCAAAACACTCTAGGAGGTGTTGTTATAATTAGGCTGATTATAATGGGGTGGGGAGACGCTGTTGGTTGCCAAGCGTTTCTGCGTAGTATCAGTGAGAATGAACTGGGAAGGAGAGCCTCGGAGTGGGTGGATTTCAGCCCTGTTCCTCTCACCTTGCCTGTACTCAGACAGGCTCATTACAAGTGGCAACACATTTTTTAGCCCAAAGCAGAGAGGTTATGACTGAAAGATGACAAAGAGTGCAAATGCCCTCAAAATCGGTGCTCACGGCAGAAGCAGACTTTCACTTTTTGTTAGAAGAATCTTTCTCTGTATTGATTCACCCCAGCAGAGAATGTGAGTGAGGAATCTCCTTCCTTGGATCAAGTCATATTTATCCCCTCTGCCCTTGTGCGTGTCCCGTGTGTGCTCACACAAAGTCCCACTGACTTCAGTGAGAAAACATGTGGGAATGAAGTGTAACTGTTTGCAAGAAGGACTGCTTCAGCTCTTCCTCTGCATTCCTGCACTTCACTGCAAGCACTGCAAATAGTTCCATTAGCTTGCTCTGAAACACTTGCTGAGGGCTGGGCCTGCCTTTATAGCCATATCTTGTCGAACACGGGGAACTCTGCTGGCACGTTGCTAATACATGCCATAAATGTATATGATAAATGACTGAGGTAATTTCAGTCTCTTTAGAATGGCACACACATCACTACACATAGAGAATCCTTTCTTGTTATTTCGGATTGCTTTTCAGAAGATGTCAAAATAATTTGTCAGAATAACAGCCGTGCTAATGATCTGGCAGTCCTCAGACAGGCTTGATCTTGCCTTGGAATGTAAGTAGCTAATTTGAATGCACAAAACTAACACCGCTGTGCAGTCGTGCTCTTGGTCTGATGTGGTGTTTCCTAGGTAAATGATCAGACATCTTTTCTACCGTCTTGGCAAGAGAGAATTAGCAAGATCTAACAGATATACATCTCCTCGGTAATCTCACTCCCTATCTCCACGCTGCTGACAACACTAAAGATAGCTGATCATTATGACTGATGGCCTGAAACTGCCTTTTAAACAACTGTGAGCTCCAGAGGTTTGCTGTCACCTGACTGCTCTACTCCCCACTTGAAAGTCATTGGGAGCAATCAGTAGTGCATGATTCAGATAAACAATTCCTTGGTGTCAGTGATAAGAAAAGTTGAACGTACACGGTAGTAGTTCTCTATCTGCAGTTTCTGTACAAATAGGGTAAGGGTAGAAAAGATGTCCTTTTTCCAGTGGATAGGGGATCATTCTGAAAGCTGGAAAGAAAACACCGTGCATTAATGACTGTGATTGTGGTACTCACTGGAGACATGTAATTGTAATTACACTTTTGAAGAACAAACAGAAAAAAATTATATTTGGTCGCAACCAGTATGTATATTGCTTAGCTAAATGTCAGAAAGCTTTTAATCCTGAAGACACAATTCTTTTACTCTTGGCAGTGTAAAGTCAGACCATGTTACAGGTGCATAAATACATGTTTGCAAGATATTAGCCCAATACGCTTAAAATCCTGTAGGAAAATGTACAGATTTTGTCATAGAATTTCAAGCAAGACAGGTAATACCGATCAGACAAGCCCAGGGAAACAGCTTTCCAACGCAGTCATGTTTCCACTTTGTATTTGGCAATCAAAGATTAATGCTGAATTATTAAAACCAGGTTCCTCAAATGCATTCTGACCAGATAAAGTCAGGTTTCTGATATAAATCTTCAGGTCATGGATAAAACAATACTTAGTCTTATAAACTTTTAAAATTGAAAATAATAACAGAGAGGGAGGGAAAGGCATTACTCAGTCTGGCCTGTGATGATGTCATGGGCCATCTGAGTGATGCTCGTGTGGTTTATGGAAACATCTATACGCCTGACTGAATTACAGCTCTGCAATCAATGCATCCCTTTCCATTATCCGATATATAAATCTCACTCTTAAAGTGTAACTGATGTGTTTTTCTCACTATTCCTATGAACATCAGTCACTGCAGAAATATTTTCCTCAGCAAATGTCCTAGAAGCACTGTATAGTTTAGATATTAGGTACAGCAACCCCTACATGATAATATTGCTCACAAGACAACAGAAGAATTGGTTTAAAATACATAAAACCCCAATGTTTTCAGTTGTGTGTGTGGCATCTGAAATAACACTAGCCATAATTTTTGTGCAATTCTACCCATGTTTGTTTTTGATAACTGTTTAAAGCAGGAGGAAAGACGGCAGAAATCCTCAGAGCACAGTTACAGTATGCCAGTGCACCTCCAGCTGGCACATGGCATTCTTGTATTTGAATACGACTGAATATTGTTATAAAATAAAAGCATTATGCTTCCAATTTCAATATTTGGATTGGAGCCAGTCTATACAACAGGCGTATGACTCAAATCAACCTCAGTCACTGCTCTGTGGGAGACTATTGAGATAGATGTTAACACATTTTTGCCTGTTGTCAGAAACTTCTTAAACTGAGATAGAAAACTAAAGATATGCTGTTCCTTAGCTCTCTGTAAGTGGAAGATTCACGCTTCTAATTGCTTGTGTGGAATAAAACTACCTACCTAATAATGTTTTTTCAACAAGAAGTGCAAAATACTGTTGAATTATGAGACTCTCTTTGAAAGCACCTACAACCTCTCCATGTAGCTAGTGAGTAGCTGTGAAGCTAGGGCGATCTTCTTTACTGTTAGAACATGACCTTGCTAGAGGCTGCCTTAATTAGGAGTGACCTCCCATAAGGGGTCACCTTAGCAGCACTCATAATGTACCCCTAAGTGACTGATTGGCTTAAAGACAGCACTTAGTTCTACCTGATTTCTACAAGGTTAGAACTGAAGGGTACATACGTATGGGCATTAACTTCCTACACACAAGCTGCTGGTGAATACAGTCAGAACAGCTCAATTTAAAGACATGAACACCTAGAAAGAATGTGATGGCAGCTGACCATATATGGCAGGCTGTTGGTACAAACGTGCTTAATTAAATTCATTTCCTCTGTCATTTTCCACTGGATTTAGCTTAGAATCAGACAGAGATAATAAGGAAATCTTTGTCAAGGAAAGGACGTAAGAGTGACATAAATAGCTTAGTACATCCTTGAAAAATATTACTCATATTAAGATATGAATAGAAAGTTATAATTATTTGATTAAATCTGAGTGAAAACTTTAAATCCATGGCCATTTTCATGCATGAGGGAAACCTGAAAAACAGTCTTAAGGACTTCTCTCACTGAAATTACTGTGCAAAAGAAATTATGGATTTTTCTTTACAGGTTATGCAATAACAGTAATTTACATCTTGCAGGCTAGCTAACAGACAAATATTTCATAATGAATTACATATTCAGATTGCTGAGGCAATGAAGAGAGGAATCAGTTTGAACAGTTAGATGGAAGGCCTTCAGGCACTGTGCCTTCAGGCACAGATGACAAGAGCTCGTACTTGGCAGGATGACTGCAGTGTAACCAGCCTCCAGTGCCAAAAGCTGCTCCTGTAAGCTACCCCTTAGGCACTCCTCAGTTTAACAAAGGTCTATTCCCACCAGCACTGGGAAGCAGTGTGCCCAGGCGGCCAAGGCCAATGGCATCCTGGCTTGTATCAGGAATGGTGTGGTGAGCAGGACTAGGAAAGTCATCCTACCCCTGTTCTCTGCACTGATGAGGCCTCACCTTGAGGACTGTGTTCAATTTTGGGCACCTCAGTACAGAAAGGACATTGTGCTGCTGGAGCAGGTCCAAAGAAGGGCAGCAAGGCTTGTGAAGGGCTTGAAGAATATGGCCTGTGAGGAGAGACTGGAGGAACTGGGGCTGTTTAGTCTGGGGAAAAGGAGGCTGAAGGGAGACCTTATTGCTCTCTTCCAATATCTGAAAGGAGCTTACAGTGAGAGTGGGGTTGTTCTCTTCTCACTGGTGACAGGTGACAGAACAAGGGGAAATGGCTTCAAATTGTGCCAGGGTAAGTTTAGGTTGGATATCAGGAACCTTCTTTACAGAAAGGGTTGCTAAGCACTGGAATAGGCTCCCCAGGGAGGTGGTTGAGTCACCATCCCTGGATGTGTGCTCTGGATGTGGTGCTCAGGGACATGATTTAGTGGAGGGTTGTTAGAGTAAGGGTAGTAAGGTTAGGTTGTGGTTGGACTCGATGATCTTTAAGGTCTTTTCCAACCTGAGCAATTCTGTGATTCTATGATTCTATTCAGGATTCCCTCTAAAATACTGTTCAATAACGATGGCATAACAAGGACTTGAGCTAAATAATTTCTGTAAGCATCTGGAAAGGAAGTAATACCACAGAAGGATAGCTAGTGAAAAAAAGCACTGGGAAGGAAGCTATGACAACTTTTAAGTTGCGTTTCAAGTGGTAACTTCCTTTCAGTGGGAATTATCATGGTGACAAACTGTATCTTTCTAAGAAACTTAAGTGAGAACAGCAAATGGAGGAAGGAAAAAACAGTTGTGTAATAACATATGAAAAGGCTGAAAGAAAGCAGTGGAAAGTGCAGCAGAAACAAATGGATTGGATTAAGGAACGAACAATCAGCATTAAAAGAGCCTACAAAGGCTGACTCTAAATAGTAGCTTTTAATTCCCTGGAACCTGAAAAGAACATGTGTAAAAGACAAGGATTAGATCTGACCAAAGGTCACACTCCAACTTCTTACTCATAGCAGGGTGATCTTCTAAAGCTGATCTGGCTGCTCAGGGCGATGTCCAGCTGAGCTCTGAGTATCTCCAGAGATGGACATCCCACCACCTATCTGCAACCTGTTCCAATCCATCACCACTTTTATTCTAAAAATACTTTTTTCATGTCTAGATGGAATTTCTTGTGCCAAAACTCGTGTCTACTGCCTCCTGTCTTTCCTTGTGTCCTTGTGACTTTGACTCCACCTTCCATGCTATCCCTATCAGGTGGTTAAAGACACAGTGTTCTTCAACTACATGAAGTCTCTTCCAAGCTGGCTAAAAACAGCTCCCTCAGTGTCTTTCCTACGTCAGCTTCCCAGGCATTCTAGTTGTCTTCCACTGGACTCACTCTATTTAAAGAGAAAAGAAATCCGAAAATACCATCTTGTTTTATACTACACATTAGTCTTTATTTGCTTGTAAGGCACGTCCATAATTTGCCAAAATCAAAATTAGTGACAAACAAATTTCTGCAACTTCAGGATGAGAAAGGTAAGTTATTAAGCCCTTGTTCATGAGTAAAAAAGTATGTCACAAAGAAGATGGGAAAATATGTTTGGTGTTACACAAAAAACAGAATCCAAGACTTCAGAAACTTTTTTCCCATTAAATGAGGCGTATATTTTCTGATTGAATTTCAAATATTTCAGTGTTAGTGAAATATAACTGACCTGCAAATCCTCCTCATTCTATGCTTTACAAAATGCTTTTATTTTCTCATGACACTCAATCAAAATAATCGATCAGCTTCTTTGTAAGAAAAAGGATTACTTACTGCCTTCCCATGTACAGTGTAAGAGATTCAATGCTCCCTCTACCCTTTTCCAGTGTTGAAGATGAAAGAAAGCATATGCTATTGCTTCACTGTCCCCTCTCTTCAGAATATGTTCGGGGGGCAGAATTAAGCTTTTCATTTCTAGGAGGTACTGCAATAAAAAAGCAGAGGACAGTTATTTCAGAAGTAATAAAAAAGCTGCCTGCAATTCTACAGCGAGTACTGAAAGGTCTGTTTCCCTGAAGTGCTTCATTTCATAAGCGTTTCATCAGATGCGTAACATCACCAACTGCACTAGAAGATAATTACTGAATTATTGCCAAAGCATACGATATACTGACAGATGGCTCATGTTGTGCTCTTCAGCTGCAGTAGGAGGACTGTGGAGGATTTCAAAACGAAATGTCTCTCTTATCAAAGGGGCAGAAAAAAAAAATAGGCTCAAAGCAGAAAAGAGGCTCTAATTACAAGAGCTTTTTAAATTAGAAGCATTTATAATATAATGAAGAAGACATTAAGCAGTTTGAAGCACCTCGCCCTTCTCTGAGGAAACAGGCAGTACTTTGCACACAGGCTGCTTTAATGCACTGCCATCATCAGGTTACCAGGCCTGCAAGTGCACAAGGTGAGCAGACAGCAGGGCTACCAGCATTTTACAAAGTAACACCATTTACTTCCAACACAATGGAACAAATATCAGATTTCCGGGAAAAAAATAAATACAGCAGTCCTTGATGTTTAAGTTAGCTAACCAAAACACTGAAAACAAAAAGTGAAAATGAAATGCACCAGTGACCAAACCCACAAACAATTCTCCCCGTTACAGGATCCCCTAAAACAGCAGGTGAACGAAGTACAAGTGGGATTCATGCCATAGGAGAAGACAGAGCTCCTGAATGTTCTTCAAGCAGGTGACTTTCCTCCTTCCCTGCCCTGCCAGTCAGACTGCTGCTAGGTCGGAATTCACCTCACTGCTGGTGTTTCTTCCTTCCTGCTAATGGAGGGGAAAGATAGAATGGAGGGGAACAGACACATCTTGTTTTGGCATGCTTTAAAGGGGAAAGAATGACAGACAGAAATTGGAGGCTGCTGAATCAATTGCTGTCTGTCAGTTCTCCTCTATGAAGTAGAATATTTCCCACCTTTGCAGTACTTTTTCTCCAGGAAAACTGTTGCTCTCTTCCAGGACTCCCTAAAGCAAATATTCTGCCCACTACTATTTAATACTAGGCTACTTAAAGGCTATTTAATACAAGAGGCAACAAGAAGCAGGTGGGTCACACACCACATGGGCAGACCCTGACATGGAGATGGGATGAATTACAAGAGACTGACTGTGGCAGAAAGGATTACAGAGAAAGGAGGGAGATGAGATGGCTCCTTTAGCCACTAGGATAAAGGTATAAGGCTGCAGCACTTCTAGGGAAAAAATCTACAATACTTACTGACAGGCTGGCTGTTTTGGAGTAGAAAAATGGAGTTAAAGATGAGGAAAAGGCTGCAGATTTTAGACAGGGATTGGCAAAATTAAAAGAAGGTATGAAAGAAAAGGTATGGACAATCACTAGCAAAAAGAGAATAAGCATGCAGCCCCTCTACTTTAGAGAGGTCTTTCTGTCTACATACTGGTCCCTGCCTTGGATGGGAAGAATGAGGGCTGCAGAATCTAAGGACTGCCAAGAACTGAGCACAGGCTGGAAGGCAACTTGGCACACAGAAGTGACAGTAATCTTTTCACACTGCTGTCAGATACAGATTTGTGAATGGGAGACTCCAGGGCATCCTTGCACACTGGCTCTGTGATGTGTGAAAGAGGAGAAAAGGAGAAAGGGAACAAATGAGAATTCAAAACCATCCTTGAAAAAAGGAAGAGGAAAGGCCAGAGGGGGCTGAGAATCAAGTTGGCGTGATGTCATGGAGGGCATCCTAAAACTAGACTCCTCTCTGCCAGAAGCCAGGAAGGAGCTGGAGAAGCAGGTTCAAGATCTGAAGGGAACAAGATCAAAGCTGAGAACTAACTGACAGCACCAGGAAACAGGTAAGTGATTCAAAGAGGAAAGAAAAATCACACATTTCTGATGCAGGTTATTATTAAAGGAGGGCAAACTAAATTAGCAGTGGGAGTATCGTGTGTGATACCTCAACTTTCTATAAAGCCTTTCAGAAAAAAATTGGGAAATCTGTAGAACAGGTAGAAGATGCAATTCAGTAGGCAGGGCAGTATAAGAAGGGATGAACAGAGGAAGAAAGAATGGTATAAAGATCTGATGTGAGGAAAGGAGCTGCCAAGCTTACAGATATACAGAAAATTTTCTTATTTGCTGCCTACATGACCTTGCCACCCTTTTAAAATCCCATGCCTACTTGTTGACCAGAATGGAATATGGCTGCAGAACTGATATCTGTTCTATTAATTTAGAACAGAACTCCCAATTCTGTATTTTTTTGCAAGAGTGAGAAGTTTTCAATATTTAAATATCTCAGTCAAAGGAAAAGAAAACAACATAAAAGCCATGAAACTATTTATAAGGGAAAAGCAGGAATGAATGTCCTACCTTGAGGAGTGTTAATGAAAACATGCAGATTTTGTTGTAACACATTGCTTGTTATTAATGATCAGTGATCAGCACCTAGCTAGACTGAGCTTGATCATTAAGAAGGAGACATGACTGCCCATAAAAATGAATTGATTTTATATTCTAGAGTATGTCATCAATTCCTGTGTTGCTGTGTTTTTAAGGAGAATTCATGGGCACTGAGAGCCCTTTCAGCAGTAAATTGGCTTTTTACAGCGCATTTCTGAAGGCTCTGTCCAGAGCACAGACTTACAGGAACTAGGTTTCTATAGTAGTATAGGTACAAGAACTTAGCATACAGATAAAAGCCATAGCAGTAAGAAATCCACTGGGCCTTACAAGGAGACAACCAACACTCTGGATAGATTCCTCACAGAGCTGTGCCTGCTGATACACTGACTTGTGAACACAACCATGATCTTCACATTTTAAGCAACAAAACGTTACGACATCTTCAATACTTTGAGTACACAGGGAAGACAGGAAACTTCTGTTGTCCTGACATGGCTCTGAACCCAAGTGTGGTTCCTGTGCAGAGGAAGCGTTAAGCAATAGGCTAAGAGAGAAACTTTGCAAAGAGCTCTCAGCACAAAGGGAGCACGGAGATGGCAAGCCCTGCACATCTCCATCTGCGCTTCTTTTCAGTGACAAAGGAAGAAGCTTAATTAGAACAGGAAATAATGCACATTATCATCATTACAGAGTTATCATTTTCCTTTAAAAAAGGAATGAGCTCAGAGAAGACAACTGATAAAAGCCAGAACAATCTAGCCTTAACCAAAATGTGAGTTAATACTTGTGGTGCCCAACTATTTCTGTCACCATCAGATGTCACCCAGCCCTTCTCCCCCACACTGTGCTGGTTTGGATTTTGTGACTCTTCTTCGTTTTTTCCTGCACTTTCTTTTCCCACTCCAAACTTCTCCTGTCAAAAAGCTGTCAGTTAGGAATTAAAAGGGGAACAGTACTTTTCACATAGCTTCTGGGCAGGTTACTTGACACTGTAAAAGCAAAAACATGAACCAAAGTGTTCAGCTATAGCCAGTCTGGGCACAAGTGGGAATATACCTTTTAATGAGCCTTGGGAGGATGGCAGTGGAAGCTAATTTCATTGTTATAATGCCTACAGGTACAAACATCGTGATAGCACTCTGCTAGCACTTTCTTGTCTGTGTGAAGGGTAATAAGGTGGAGTTTGTATTTTCTTACTTGAATTGACTGAATACACATTATTTGTTTCATAATATTGACTGCACTCTCGCTATTTCTCTGCTGGGACTGCCTTTAACATTCCAAATTAATACGTTACTTCAGCGCCCATTTATAAAATAAATCTATATAAAAGAAATCAATCTAAGGAAGGTTTTTCCTCAGTCCTGCATCTTGCCTCTGAAATTACAGCTCAGGCTGTAAATAGGCAATAGTCACTCCTGCACCTGTGACAGCAGCCCTCCAGGCCAGAACACGAGAATTTAACATTGTTTGAACAGGAACTCTCTTCCTCCCTTTGGGATGAACAGCACAAGCTTCATACAGCTCAGAAATACTGGATTCTACATGCCCAGAGAAGCCAATTGTAGGTCACACAGCAAGTTCACGTTGGATTGATGGTAATTAACAAGACTGGCCTTTTTACTGGAGATACAAAAACAAATCACTGTCTCACTGAACAGTTACAACCCCTCTTTAAACATATCTGGAATAGTTTCTCTGTAATATCATGGGGTGTGTAGAGTGGATTCCTTTCCCATCTGCTAAATAAATTTGTTTTCATTATTTGTTTCTATTAGCAACTACAACTTACTAGAAACCACAGAGCATTCAAAGACACACAGTCCTCATTACAAATAAAATAAAGAAGGTAAGAAATAAATAATAAAGAATGAAAGGGAGAAGAGGTAAATCTTTAGAAGTGTTCAGGTTAATTGGTTGGTTATATTCTTTTATGAAACACTTTATACACAAAAGTGGCATTTCTTTAAGGAACAGTAACATTTAGACAGTCTGAATCTTCAAATTCAGGCCCTGGTTTACATGGCCACCCCACACAACTGTGTGCAGGGCACAGTTCTGACTCAGTTTTAAGAATCATATATACAAACCAACACTTGTTTTCTCTCCCTGCTAGATTCAAAGATCTTATCAATAACACATAAGATTTTTTTGGGTTGGGAGGTGTGAAGGGAGTTATAAAGATGAGCTTGAGAGAAGGGAGCCCAGCAAATCAACTGAGGAAGGGTGTTCCAGTAGTGAGAAACATCTCATAAACAGCTGTTGTATTTTATTAGCATTTACTTGGATTGCTGCATTACAAATAAGTGGGAAAGATCCAAACACAACAGATAAATAATGCTGAAGTCTTCTGTGAATACACACATACTTTTTCATACATCCCACAGACTATGGACTGCCATGACCCTCTTTTTTCTGCACAGAACCCTCTAGAATGGCAATCATACCTCAACTGTGGCACTAAAACCATTTTTTGCTTTACTGTTGATTTTTTGAGCAGCATTGTTGTCAGACACAGTCAGCACATTTCCCTGGGACCAACACTGCCATACAGGATGCTGTACTAAAGCAAAGGTATCAGACTACAGAATCTCTCTTAAGACAGAAATGGATGGAAATCAGACAAGTAAGCAATACAATTTGGCATGATTCTTCTCTTAGTGGAAATCAAAGCTCTCTGCTTTGTTATCTTTCCTGCTGTACTGCTGACTTATATTGGCTATTGATATGCTTTTCTTCCACTAAAATGAATCCTGAAAATATTCTTCCTGGTTAACTGCTTACTGTTTAGAAAGTTAACATCTGCCAGGGTATAAAAGTGCATCTTGCTGAAGCTGAGCTGTTTCAGCAACATAAACAAGACAACCTCCAGAGACAGAGGCAGTATCTTTCATCAGGTCAGCCAGGTCAGCTGCCCAGCTTCCGGGATACACGTGGTAAATTGCTCTGAGCTCTGTATTGCCTTGGTTCACCAAAAAACCTAGCACCTTCACGTGTCACATCTTGACTCCTGCCTAATTCAAAAACAATGGCAATTTGTTAGCTGCAGCTGAGGCTTAATGGACAGATCTCTGGGAATTAAACTGTCATCAAAACATACTTAAAAAAAAGGAAGAGCCCTGTGCCAGAAGAATATTAATTGCTGGAAGGAAGGCTAAAGAAAGGCTTATGCACACACTGGCCCCTAGACAGAAGATAGGTGGTTTTGCAAGGTTGCTTACGTTTCTTATCTCTGTGTAAAGATAAGAATCTGGGACTTAGAAACTCCTTCTTCTCAAAGAGTTCCTGTATCTTCTTTGAACACTTGAAATGAAGTGTAAAAACTAAATCTGACCTCTGCAGTATCGTTATGGAACAATGGACTGGAGTCTGGATGTGCATCTCCTGTGGAAAATCAGCAGCACCACAGGAGTCCAAAGTTTGACAGAAGCCCACAAACCTGTAACAGGCCAGTGGCAGACCTGCTCACCCTTTGTTGCTAAGCACAGCAACATCTCTCAGTGCGTTCAGGCTGTGTCCCCTGCTCCCTCCTCGTGTCATCATCTCATTAGCAGAAGTCTGCTATTTCCAGTCAAATGGCTCAAAAATGCATATCCAATAACAATCTTTTTTTCTGTGATAACTCTAAATTTTAATGATTTGCACTGAGAATGGTAAAATTATCTTTTGAGACCATAGATATACTGAAACATTTACATTTTTTTCTATGTAATAGTGTAGCCTCTTTCAAAGATTCTCCTGAGATCTTTGCAAATGCTTTTAATAGTATATCAGTTTTATTACTTATTTATTCCTCAACCTGAACAAGAGACTCATTAGATTTAAATCCTAAAGAAGCTTCTGAAGACACGTTAGTTTTGTAGCACTGCTAGATTTTCTGTGATGCTGCTCTCTAAAACTTATTTCCATTTCATTAAGAGCAAAATGGATATGAATTCAACCATAATTGAGTGGAAATTGAGGTGTAATATCCATACTTGCCATAAAATTATAATCACATATATGTTATTGACACCTTAATAGCCTTTAGCTATAAGCAAAGAGAATATGAGTGTTAATATGAGTTATAATAGCCAAGAAAATGAGTGTGAAATTGTTAGTCTGTAATGGGCTACGCTGTTTTAATGTGAAAATATGAACTAAAAAAGCCCAAACTCTGCTGCCATTACTACCTCATTATCCTGATAATTTATACTTTTCACTATGGTTTTTAATTTCCAAGTAACTGACTTTGAAATTCAAACTGAAGGAATCAATTAACAGTGTGAACTAGACTGAGAACTTAAATGAGGACTAGAATTTCATTACATTAGAGACAGAGAATAACATGCAGTTTGTATTTCATGTGTGGAGATACTTGTCAGAAAGGGAGTTTCAGTCTTTTATAGAAGCTACCTAGCCAGGTGATGGTAGGTGAGACAAGGGTCACAAGCAATGAGTAAAGCACTGATCTGCAAGCACAGCAGCATGTTACAGGGGTGGAAGTGCAGAGATAATGGAGCAGCTGCCACAGCTTACAGTAGATTACATTTTGCAATGGAAATCAAGCCAAAGAAAAGAATGCACAAGTACAAACAAAAAAAGAACAAGCAAAAAAGTAGTAAGTGAAGATATAGACTCAGTTTCACAGTAACGTTGAGCAAGGGGACAACAGCAGGCTGGATATTAAGAGCATGTACAGAAGTGGAAACCATTGCAGCCAGTAACCTCCATTCCTGAGCAGTGAAAGAATTGGCCCAGGAAACTGCCAGATTTGCATTACAAGCTTAAAACAAAGATCCCCATTCAGAATCAAGCGATCCAGTAGTGAGAATAATAAATGGAGTACCACTTATTTAATGAAGGGAAACAATGTGGATGCAATAAAATAGCCTTTGAAGGAAAAAATAAAAAAGATCAGAAGCAAGGAGACAAGTACAGAGAACAGAACAGGCTCACAAACAGAGCCTGTGACAAGCAAAACTGCTTGCTTGGCAAGATACCTGTTTTTTTAGACAACAAGGATATAACTCTCTAACTGGGCTTCAGTAAAGCATTCTAAAAGTTTCATGCATAACAAGATTAGAATAGAGAAGTAAACAGATGAACAAGTAGAAGAGAATATTAATGGCTGTGTTGGTGCAAGAACCATTGGGATGAAAGAAGGTGAAGAGTTCCACAGGAGCAATAATCTTGGGATCAAACTTCAATGTTTTCATTGTATAGCTTGGCACAAAAGTAGAATATCAGCCAATAATACAAAGAACTCACATAAATCTTGCTGTTTAGAGATCAGGATCTTACTGGAAAATAGTTGCTTCTTTCATAGCCAGTGCAGAAACAGGCACTTTGGAGAGAAAGTCTATCTAGAGATGTCTAACACAGTCCCTTCTTACCACACTTTCTGTAGAGAATGTCTAGGTGACTTTATTAAGCGGCCTAACTTTCTGACAGCTGAACTATGCTACTTAGTGGATGGCATAACAGATACATGTTACAGAGAAAATAATTCCTGAAATGCATGAGAAAAAAACTATATATGTGTACACATGAGAAATTCAGAGTTTAGCTTGACCAGACTTGGTGTTCAACTCTAGCTAATTAAGGGGTTCCCTATATAAAGATAATCCAGTCTTCTGCTCTCCAGCAAGGCTGCTTGCTTTCACAGGGCAATATGGTTCAAATAAGCTTTGCAGGGTGAGGTTCAGTGATTCAAGGGCCAAAAAACATCTGCCTCTAGTTTGCCTTTACAATGAACTTCTAGACTGCAATATTGAGTATCAGGTGAAAAACAATAAAGTACATTAGCTTTTAGTAGCCACAGGCAAGATTCTTACTGCTGAGACACATATCTAGGGAGAGAATTATGAAATTACAACATAAATCCATTTTCTTACTGAACTCTGTAGTTCTCAGTGATTTTTCATCTCTGACCTGTGTGTTCTCAGAGCTTAATGACAGGTGCTACATAAGGAATAACTAATGTAACTTACTAATGTAATTTGAAGCATACTACAAACCCTAAAATAAGCTTTTCGTATAGCATATAAAAATATATTCTTTTAGGTAGCCATCAAAACAAAAAATGACTCTATTTTAAACTAGAAGATTTTTCATGGCTTTTGTGTAAAGAATCATCTGTCCCTATGTGTTCTGCTCTGCAGCACAACATTTGGTGGTATCTACTACTACAACTCAGTATACAACTCTTGGTCACAAAGAAGACTCACTTCAGCTAAAATTTCAAGTTTCAAGGTCCACAGTAGAAGAAACTTCAAGGTTGAAAACCAGAAAAAACCACACTGATCATCTTATTTGCCCTCCCACTTGTCACCCCCCCTTTCCACTAGATCACTTGATAATCTACCGCAATAAGACAGGAGATAGGATCTCAGCAGTTTTAAAGCTACAACAGTGCTTTCTCCATACTCACTTTTGGCACATGTGGATTAAATTCTACTGCTCTGTGAATAGCTTCTACTGCATTCATCTCTGCAGTACTCAGCCCTCGCCTTGAGGCAGCCTCTGGAGAAAATCTAGAAAAGCAAAGAAGAAAACACTGGGTCAGAAATGCTGGTAGGAAAAGGACAGAAAAGGAATTAGACCATGGGCCCATACAAGCAAACTGAATCAATTTCCTGGGCTCTCCAAATTTCTACAGTAAGTGGAAACTAAACGATCTATTATGTCAAGGACAATGAAAATCCCAGCAGAAGTGGAAAGCATGTTTGTAGCTAGTCATGGCAGGAAGTCAGTTGAAACAGTCAGTTCTTTCTCTGTCACTAATCTAAATTCGCTCTAGGTACCTTTTCTAAGGGGCATATTCAAGGCTGAAGTTGCAGAAAAAAATAAAAGTGAAAAAACCCAATGCCAAATCATTGTTGGAGGGTTTCTATTAAAAACAGGTTTGGGGAGGTTTGAGGGAGGTCCCAACCCAATGCCCCTGGGTCAGGTTGGGATGGAAGCACGATGCAGCAGCAGTAGCAGGTGGTCTACTGGCCGCAGCACCATTGAAGGTAGCATGCCCAAACTGTGGGCGAATCATCTGCCCCAGTGAATGAAAAACCAGACCATGCAATCTCTTTCTCACCTCACACCCCACGGCTAACTCCAGAGCTGTACTTGGCAGGCAGACACCACAGGGAAAGCTGTGACAACCTTAGCCCTGCCCTCCCAAGCTGGAGTCGCTGTGTAGGGAGGAAAGATGTTGCAGTAGGTACTGGCGATCTACAGGATAAAAAGAATGAAAGAAAATTACTTAGATCTTGATGTGTACATACACTTTAAAAGCAAAAACTGTCAGGATGTCAGTCAAGAAAATGGCTTTCCACTCTACTTGCTTTCCAACTTTAGGGAGGCATTCTGACCCTCAGGTGCACAGACACAACTCCTGCCTGGGATTTGTGTGAAGGCATCTGAGAGCGGAATTGGGATTTTTGAGCTCCATCTCACAAAGAGCTGAGCACACTTTTGGAACGGGCTGGTGCTCTCAAGTCCACAGGCAAAAAGTAGATGTGCTCAGCACCTTGGAAGGTTGAGACCCAAGAGATAACCATAACAGGAATGAGCAGATATTTGTGTGTCTAAAAATATGAACAACATCTACCTCTCAGAATCCCTGACATAGTAATGCTAAATGCACCTGCCGCTATCTAAGCAGTCTTCTGACAGCTTTTGTAAAATGACGTTATTGTCAGTGTATCCACATTTATTTATTACCTTTTTGGGATCAGGTTTATGGAAAGTTGAAGATGTTCAGCCACACAGCACCTTTAGTTGAATTTTCATCATATTGACTAGAAAGCCAAGGCACACCCACCACAGCATCTTTAATTGTATATTCATTATACTACCTAGGAAGCTAAAGCTCACCCAGGTAGTATACACAGAAGTGAAACATGAAGGCTATTTCTCTTCTTTTCTTCTCTAATATTTGAAGTGCAATGTTTATTCAATGCATCTTTTTTTCAGATATAAACCAATTTTATAAATTTCTGCAGGACTGAACTATCCTGCTTACTCAGCAGATTGTCAGGGTGTGGGCTCAGCTAAGAAAAATCTTGAGTTAAATCAGGAATTTCGCTGGAGAGTGGTTCTTATGCACTTACTTGTCAGAGACAGCTCTGGCTTTGAGCAATGCAGCTGTGTAACATATTGTTGCTGATTTTGGTAAGCTTATATCTGTGGAAAAGAAAGAAAAAAGTAAATATCGGAACCCTTAAAAGTCTGCAGACAAAAAAAAGTGTTTGATACTTCAAAGTATGCATGGGATGTACAAAATTATTAAGTGAATTCAGAGTACATTCTGTCCTTGGGACTCGTACTACCATGTTGCATGGATTTCAAACTTCCAACCAAGTTAAATATATACACTTTAAAACTCACAATAGTGAATTGCTATTTAATTAGCAAAAGAGGCCATAGAGAACTAAATGTCATGTCACAAAGAGTGACATGACAGAGATATAGTGAAAGAATTCATACTCTATTTTATAAACATAAAGGTAACTGGAAAATGTGATTTTTTTCCATAGTTTATGAAATATCTAAGAAATACATGAGGGCTCTTTTTTCCTTCCTGTTTTCACCAAGCAGCAGTTGTTTAATATGCATACGTGGCAACTATACAAGTTAATACAGACATCTAAGTGGATTTTACATGCAACTAAAAACTATTAGTTAAAGATCAACAAGAAATAAGGTGTTTTGCCTCTTAAAGAAATTTTGAACAAAAATACTCATCAGTCTCTGGCCATTTTATATTGTCCCAGATATGAAAAGCAGCCATAACCCTGACAAAACCCATTAGTACAACTTTATTTATTTATTCTCTACCAGCAGACTGGCACAAAGCATACAAAGAGTAGTAATCAATACTGCATAATAAATCTTAGCCATATATTTTTTCTTACAGATACAAGAAAAATTGTCACTCTAATAATCTACCTAACAAACATACTATATGCTGATGAAAATATTCCAGTGTTAAAATGTTAAAGATTATGCTTAAAGAAAACAAAACAAATAAACAATAAAACCCAACGCTTAGAGCTGGATTCTGCACACAGCACACTGTCTACTCAAGTAAAACCCAACTGGGTACTAAGTTATCAGAAGCATTATGCCTAGAAATAATACTAGAGCTTCCTACAGTAAATACTGAAAACACAAGGCACTGGACTAGGCCAACTGTAAGAGTGGAATCAGACTACTGCTCTAGGAAATACCTGTCCCTCCGTTTGTCAGTAAAGGTGAGGCATACAAAAGTTGTTGGGGGCTACCCTATGATACACTCCAACTTAATTTCACAGGACTACTTAACTGTAGTTAACTGTAGTACAACTGAAATCATTAAAATCGACAGCATGCAGAGCAGACTAGGTGAAGGATATGTTAGTTACTGCATTAACAGAAGCTGGCTAAAAACACATATAGAACAACTTCAGTGACAGCAGGAGAAAATGTTTCTAAGGACCTCCAATAGCTCTCCTTATACCAGGTTTTACTCAGCATTAGGAGTTAAAAGCCATTTCCAGTAAACAGAAACAATGTTTTCCCAAATACACCAGTCTTTATTTTCCAGTTGAAGGTTCATTTTCAATCATAAATGGACTGAAAGGTATCTTTCTGAGTGCAAAAGGAAACAAAATACAAAATGCAACAAAAAAAACCCACCAGATACTCCAATGATTTGCAGTCATTCATATAATGTTTTAAAATTCAATAAAAGTTTTAAAATTGCTCAGTAGAATATCATACTTTCCCTTTACAATTGAAGTGTTTCTGTGGGCCAGTAGGTCACTGTTATCTCACAGAAAATATTTTCTCCTCCGTCAGTTCAAACCTAGCAAATTCCTGCCAAAGCAATGGGATTTTTCAAGAGAATGCTGTGTTTAAATCTGACCACTCGTGTTCAAAACAACAGAAATGAATAAAATACATTGTTATTTTAACAATCCAAATGAATTAAAGTCTGAGAAAAGATACATCTGCTCCCTGTCCACATCCACAAAGAACACTGGGGGAGAAGAATAACTGCTTAGGTGAAGGGCAATATTGGCACAAGGACAAACAGTTGAACGTGAAGTTTAAACTGGGGATTAAAAGTTTCTAGGAAATGAAGTTTGTAGGCAGGTTTGCAGGTAGAATAATGGGACAAACAAAATACCTATATACCATTTTATAAAATTATATGCACTATAATTTTAGGATGGAGCTTTCTCAGCTCACGGGAAGTGTAATATCATGTAGTGAATGCAACAGCAGGCAACCTCACTTCCCCAGGAGGGCTCTTCCAGAACTGTGCTCCTAATAAGCAAGCAGCAGTTATTTGAGGATAATACCTACAGTCCCTTGGCAATAGAATACATACATACAAACGTCCATGTTTATGTTGCTGTGGAGATAGTGATCACCCTTGCTAGGTCCATGCTTGCTTCACTCCTGCGTTATGCTTTTTGCTTGCTCCATATTGGACTACGTATATTTAGTTCTTCTATATCTTGGCCTGATTACTGTAATACTTTAAATTCCTCATATAATTTAGGGTTCATTTCCTAAATTGCACTCTCATATTTTAGAAAACAGCATAAAACAATTATGCCTGGTTACAACTTGAACTTAGCAAAGGAATCGAGTCTAAATTAGCCCTAGGAGATAAGTCCCCTGTCAGGAACTAAAGTGAAGGTATTCATAAATGAGTGTGTCCAGCTCTTCGAGCCACCTGGGAAAATATCATCACATATACTATTTTCCACCCTTCTATTATTACTTGTGGAGTTCCCACCATGTGCTGAAATATGTGACTGTGATTCTGTTGTTGAAACCATCAAGACATTTTTGCCTAGTCAGAATTGACATGACAATCTTCAAAAAAAAGACTCTCCTTCTTCTTTATTGTTTTTATCTTCAAACTGAATACAAAATAGCCTAGACTTAATTAACAACCAATTTCTTTGAATTAGCCTCAGTCAGCTTTTGGAAGGGCTGGAAAAGTGAATCCTCCCCAGCTGTTTGCTTCGTAAGTGGCTGTTTTTGAGAGTGAACTAATGGAAAAATACTATGGATAGAGACCTGCAACCATAACACCATTATTTCCCTGATCATGATATCCAGAATATACCATAAATCATCTACATAGGTCTTGGGGTTTATGATTCTCATAAAACAGCAAATACACCTAGAAATGATGAATCTGAATACAGACTAGGGCAGCATCCCTTAGTCAAGTCACCAGAAAGCCCCAAGTATGAAAAGATGAGCATGTTGCAATTGCTTTAATCGTAAATAATCAAAAATCTAAGTCACTAATCAGCCATTATTCCCCCCCTATTTTTTTATCCTAAAGGATACATTATTCCCAAGTCAGCAGTGAGGATTCCTATGGGCTTAACTTTGGATAGGTGAGTAGTCTTATCAGTGTCAAGTGGCCTTAAAAATTTACTGAAATAAGCCACAAATCTTGACCATATTTTGCATAGTTAAGAGCATTCCAGTCAAACTGTGAGTCCTTCTTTGTACAGTACTGAAGTCTACATTTAAGCTACCAGATTCATTCATACATTTCTAAAAACGTAACTGTTAATTATATTAATAAACCGGAAAAAGTTTTGTGAAGACATAAAAACAAACCAACAAAATAAAAGATGAAATAAAAGACAGGTATCGTGCTATGGCTCGGTGGTGAACTCCAGTGCTGATTTTCTCTCCCTCAGCTTGTCTGCAGACTCTGGTGTTTAAGTGATAGGCCAACACTTGCCTTGTCAGCACAGAACTCCCCCAGATCTCTCCACCTGCAGACTAGATTGTCAGCTCTTGCACAGGTGGTAGAAGGAATTCCTTGTGGGAAAGACTGAAAGTGGTCTGATAAATAAATATGTGTCAGCTGGATGAGTGACGACAAAAGAGAGATGCAGTCATCTATTAAGACACAAGTATTATGTAAGGATGTGAATTAAGCTGATAAAAATGGTTAAGACAATAGCAATGGGATAGAATTCAATAATGGAAAATATTAACTGAACCTCAGGGGAAAAACACTTTGTCAGAAGATCTGCTGTCTTGTGGCATTATCTCCTACAAGAACAGTCATTGCCTGGGCCCTTTCTCCGCAAAAAAAAAATGTTAGAAACAATGTTGGAAGGAGCAAAACTATGCTCACAACAATATAATGTTTACTTTGGGCTGGCAACAAAAAGCAGTTCTGATTTTCTGTAGCTTTGACATTCTTCCTCACTGGTGGGAAACATCCCAATCAAACAAACACTTAGCCACAGTGTACAGTAAGGCCTTCATTTTGATTCCCTGAAAGAACAGGAAAAGCATTTCAGCACAAATGAGGAGTGTTCTATTTTGCCATGAGCACAACTAGCTCTTCAACTGTTCAGATAAGGACATATCTTGAAGTCACTGCTGGTTGTAAATATGTCATAGCTGAGATGAACATCTTGGTGGCCAGAGCAGGTGTCTATTCCCTTGACTTTACTGTGCTCAATCTTATATGCATCTAAAGGGGAAGGAACCGTTTATCCTACAGAAGATTTAAAAGATCAAGATCAGTGCAATTAGTTCAGAAGCCTCAAACGTAATCATACAGCTAAAAAGCCAATCAGTTGGTAAGGACATAAAACTGATAGAAAGACCAAGTAACAGGTAGCAAGTGATTTTGAGATAAAGAAACCAGTTCTCAGATGCAGAAACTGAAGAAGAAAACGTAAGGGGAAAAAGGACAAACCATTCTCCTGATACTCCTGTTATCCAAACTGGAGGTGTTACCTGATTTGCATTTGAGATGGTAGAGTAGGCTTGGTTTGACTTCAACTAAGAGGAACTTAACATCTCTCTTTCAAATAAACTGAACTATTACAAAATACCATGAAAGGTTGCTTCCATACTGCCACTTGCTATATCTTTAACTCAGAAAAAAAACCTCTTTCTTGCACTAGAATGAAGAAGAAACATCGAGTTAGCTCCACCAGGTAGAAAATCTCTTCAGTAGTATCAGACATTATCATGGTGAGTAACGAAACTGATGGCCTGCAGCTGTGATCTCAAATATGTATATATACACAAAAGCTCTAGAGACCATAGCTGATATAAATGAATACTCCATCTAATTAGTTGATTATCTATTTACAAAAGAAATGGTGTGAAGTTTGATGTAATTAAAATCTACATATTTCATAAGTTGTAAGGACACAAAAAGGACAGACTATAAAAAGTAGAATAACCCTGAATGTGCTGCATTCTAGAAAACTTATTTCTCTACATTAACTACTTGGATTTCGAAACAGTAAAGGTCCAAATTCCTTTTATGCTTGGCTTTCACAGGAAAATCTGTCAAACAAAATAATTCTGCAATCTATACTCCTAGACTGAATAAGAATACGATCAATTCCTGATCATCATGCATATTCCAAGGCGAATACGACTGTTCCTAATTGTTTATTTCTAAGGTTTGCATTTTGATTTCACAGTAACTTAAGAGCAGGATTGTTTGAAGTAAGCAGTTACCAAATAGAAGTGTAATAGTGTGGAGTAGAATGAGAGCTCTTTAAATAAAAAGATAATAATAATAATAATAATAATAATAATAATAATAATTAAAAAAAAAAACACAACAAAAGACAGAATCCAAACAAACAAATCAAAACCCTCACACTTAATTTCTATGTATACTGAGTTCTAAATTCTCTTTTCTAGTGATCCGAATTCAGAACTGTCTATATGGTGATGTGATTCTTCTCCTTTGCAAGTGTTTAAGTGAAAGGAGAATGACGATAAGATGTTCCCCCTGCAACCCAGAAGGCTTATAGTCTCTTTGGTAAAGCCCGACTTCAAAGAAATAAAACAAGGAGTGGTTTAGGGAGCGATCACTGCATCAGTACAACTACATAAATAGGCCTCTATCCTTTCTAAATTTTACTTTCAATTATCAGGAAGGTCTGAGCTGTCACACAACGCTCAAGTTACCAGAGAATAACAATCAATGGACCTGGCTGTCCAAGGAAGTTAACAAACCGTTTGTTCTAAGCATCACAACAAGCAGCTCTACTCCACTGAAAAACAATCAGTTCAAAAAGCAAGGGAAGAGCAGATAAACATTATCTACTGTGAACACCAGAAGCTTATTCCATCAACATGAGTCTCTTCAGCATCTATAACTATTTCTGCTGTAAATAACATGAATGTGTGTCAAAACAGAGTCAAAACTTCTTTTAGAATTCAACAGTATTTAGGTCATCTGCATTCTATTGACAGGCACTGAACTCTGAAACTATAATGATGTAGCTCTGCAGCAGTGCATGACTTCCCACTAATGAGGCCCTTTTTCCATGAATAATGAGTATAGACATCAGCTCTGTTGCCAGGTGCATAATATAAACACTATTTAACACACAGCTTTTGGTAAAGCAGTGTGTCTGCTTGCAGAGGCTGAGGTTTTGCACAATGTGTTCTAATGCTTTAACTCAGGGTGGGAGCAGGCCACTCAAGAAAATAATTTGTTCACATGTTATCGAAATACAATAAGTCAAGTTTGGTCCCAGTCAAAAAAAAAAAAAAAAGACAGTGGAGTGGGACCAACAGAAACTGTAGATGGGAAAGCATAAATGAGTTCATTGTTTTATAATCCAATAAATCTTACAACACGTGAAGCTGATGAGTTCTAAAATGAGCTGAGACTCCGTGAGATGAGCCTTCTGAGACTCACGAGCTGTAAGAGTCATGCTGGTTAAGCCTGTGCTTGTGGAGTCTTCGTGTATACCAGCATACACAAATACCTCTGCTTATATAAGGCAAAGAATTAGATGAAAATGCAAATAGATAAAGTAAAAAGAGTTTTAATTTGAAAAATACACATCTGATACATTTATAACCTCAGTTTTGACTAACATCAGATGCTTCTGAGAAAACAAAATTCACCTTGCATAGTTTTATCACCTTTTATAACACAAAGTGCTACCATGATATTGTTTAAAACTAGAGATCAGCTCAGTATGCAAAAGTAGACCTAGCACAGAGCTTAATCTGAAATTTGGGAAGGCTGATTTAATTCCCTGTTCTGCCATAGGTCTGCTATGTCCCAGAGCTATTATTAGAGAACTACATTAAAGAGTAGGAGGTGTTAAAGTCCCACTGTACCTGGGGCAGAAAAATAGGCATTTCTATTTACTTTCTTTCTAACGTGCCAAAACACGTGGGGAACTACATCTGCATCGCATACCATGTTACCACTTCTACTGCAGATTTTTTCAACCAAACTAAGCATAACCAAGATCTCTAGTGGAGTTGCTACTGCTGCTGGATGGCAGTACTTAAAAGCCCAAGTAACACTTTGATCTTTGCCTAGAATGATTCAACTCCAGAAAGAGCTGAAAACATTCCATGCTGGACTGGTAGCAACAATTGCTAACAGTTGCAAACACTTCCCTTAAAATACCTCAGCTCAGCCATAGGCTGAAATTTGGCAGGTTGACCATGTTAGCAGCAAGTCAGCAGTCAACTGCTAACCTCCTTAAAATTTATCTTAGTTTACTAAGTTATAAAATGTTAGAAGAAAGCAGCTAGTACATATTAAATGGAACCTTTGGCTTTTTTTTTTTTTTCATTTATACCCTCTAAAGATTCTTTGTTCATCAATTGTACTTCTCAGTATTATGATGAACTTACACATTATCCTCTTGCCACAGTTCCGTGTAATTATATGGGGCCAAGTAGTGCAGCTCACAGGGAAAACGTTCTGTTTCTATGGGCTCTTATTCTGTTTGACATTTTGGCACTCAAGCAGAGAAAGCTCAACAAAGAGAAGACATAAGCCACAGAAAAAAAGGGGAAAGTGGAAAAGGTGGTAAGTGAAAAAGAAAAGATGGCTAAGACAGGAACTGTAAAGTGGGTGAGAAGATATATTATGACCATCACTGCCCTGAAAAGCCAACCTGTACAGGTACATCTACATGGGGTAGAGATGAAATTAAGAGTGAGTAGCACTGGCTGAACAAGGAGCTTCTGGTAGGAACTGGGAGCAAAAGAATGCAGAAACTTGCTGTGCAAAACAGCTGAAGTAGAAAGAAGTTCAGTAGACAAATAAGAAAGATCAGCTAAAGACAGAATGAAAAGGATGGCAGGTTTTTCAGAAGAATCAAATAGAGTGGCCAAAGTACTGTGAGTATAGGTTCCAGGGCCCATACTGGCAGTCATATTTAAGGAACACATGAAAATCTGTAAGATCTAATAATTAAAAACATTTTAAAGGCTGCAAGATATAGCTAGAGAGTTAATATCAAGATTTATACTGTTTCACTTAATTCAGTCACTTTGCATACTATCATCTAGTTTTCAGTTGTGTAACTGGATAATACTCATTTCTTAATCTTCCTTGCCATATTCCAGTGCATAGAACGACACTTTTCTGAGGACCATCTAGGAACAAAACAGGAAATTGATGGCTGCAGCATTCTTGACTCAATTTTTGCAGAACTTACCAAGTGGACAGTGAGTAAACTGGGGAAAATAAGAGTGACATTGCTAAGGATGATTAATGTTGCTCAAGATAACTGGATTCTATTCCTGTTTCTGTCCCAAAGTTTCTACACAATACAAAGAAAACCCATTTAACTTAACAAAGTATGCCATTTGGTGATTTTTACCCAGTCCATTCTCTGTTTTAGGCTGTAAGAAGAGGTGTGACTTAAACAAAGAAAGTGACACATACTGCATTAGGCCAATGCTTACAGAAATACTGAAAATGACATGAGAGTGAAAAGTTCACCAAGTCCACTGAGCTTTCCAAGTTTTCCCCCTAAGATATGAATTTTGCTACTCACTGGGCTGCTGTGAAGCGAAATCAATTAATATTTGTAAAGTACTTGTATGCAACTTAGTCAACATTCACAAGAAGTCCACGTGGGAACAGATAATCCTGTCTTCAGACAATGTTTGAACAGCATGCAATGAAGAGTTTGCTGAACCTAAACAGTCATTCTTTAAACATCACTGAAGAGCTTCTAGTAAGTGAATTCCATTATTTTGTATAAGGAATAAAGCAGGGTTGGCAGGAAAAAAATTTAATGCATAATCTTTGGAATAAGGGCAGTGTAAAAGGATCTAGGAAGCTTGTGTGAATCACCTAAATTACAGTATTTCTTAATTTTTAAAAGCTTGACTAATGAATAATGCTTTTGTGTGCTTTAGAAAATAGAAAAAAATACAGATAGAAAAAATAAATGTATACATATATACATATATATGGACTTACCATCATACTTCGCTAAGACTGCCTGGACATCCGCATATGCTTGCAGTTCTAACAAAGCTTCTAGCAGGTTTTCATGGATATTGAACATGCTGAGAAGAGGAAATTCCTTCATCAACTAAAATCAGTAACACATGAAAGGGTTAGATTATTAACATGGAAAATGATTTCTTGCTCAAAATGCACTGAAATAACTAACATTAAGTTAAAACCCCTCTGCTTCCTGTGTTCTTGTCTCTTTCCCTGAGTTCACTATTATCTCAAAAATTTTTGAGCTCTAAATGGACACTGGGTCAGGTTTCTTGACAAGACATGCATAACACACAATTAGTCAAACCCAAGTTCTGCTGTCTGAACATGCAACTATCATACTATTAACAGGCTTTGTTCTTCAAAATGAAAATGGGTTTTCTTATTGCACTGGATAAGAATCTTCCCCAGAATAACTCTGGTATATCAGTAGTAAGCAATCCAGTACTTCTCTTGCATATCAGTAGCAAAAATAGAAATTACACTGAAGAAAATCAGAACAAAATCAAATGACAGAAGCTTACATACGTGCAGCTATATTTATTAAGTGCATTATGATTTGTAATCATGGATACTTTAAAAAACAATTACAATAATAGCCAATACTAGCAGTAAAAATAAAATAAAAAACCAACAATAATATAAAAGGCATAGATATACAAATCTAACACTGTGAGTAAAGAATCTGTCTTGCATGGCAAGCTGAATGAATAGAGTAGTTAAATTAATGTAATCCTCTTCCATGTAAGTGCCTTTAACTTTGTGAAATGTCTGAGGAATATCAAGAATTTGTTCTTAGACATCTTCCATTTCAAAGTCTGCACAGCTCCAAATGACAGAAGGTCATTTTCTAGTGCATCTCCTTTTTGAAGCCACACTTACTAGGAGCATCATTTTTACTGCTTACATGATTAAACATATGTATATTTATTATCAGAATGGTTCTCCAAAGAACTGAAATGTTACAAGAGCCTTGCTTCCTCACGTCTTCTTTATGGTTGTTCTATTAGTACTGTCTATGTGATGTATGTTATGGATGGCCATAGTGCTCCTAGTCTTAATGGCTGAAGATGAACCTGTGACGATGAACCTGCACAGTTTGCAGGCTTTCCTCCTTCTTCAGTTTTCCAAATAATGGACTTACTGCTCGCTTGTCTTTATGAAGAATTTTGACCATTAAAAAGTTTGTATACTTGCTCATGAAGAAAAATAACTGCAGGTGAAAATTCACATAGCTGGATTCCACAGTTATGGATCCAGCACGCCGTTTATCTCTTTTCATTCTTGTCCATGCTCACTATTGCATATTTAACAGTCGAAACTACTACTTGGCAGGAAAAATCATGACAGAATCTGGTCCTACGTAAAAAGTGATTTAAAGTACAGAATGAACATATTGCAAACAAGCCCCTCCAAGGGATTAAGAAAGATTATCCCTGCTCACTGGGAATGAATAATGGCTGGCAGAACAATCTTCCCTCCATCAGTGAAGAAAAGGGAAGAGCTGCAGCTAGTTACAGACGTACTATGGCCGGTAAAAGTTCCTACTCTGGTTCTCTTTGCTTCTCACTGACATCACTCACTGATTTTTTTCTACTTTGGTTCTGTCAGAGTGATAAACCTCGCCTAAGACAGCAGTGGAGTAAAGGTCACCGCTTAGACTAGAAGGCCTCTGAATTTACACGTGTTAACAGGGGTTTCAGCTGGGAAAGGTCGAATGTTAAGAGTCTGAGTCAAAATGAACTCAGTTAAAATTCAAGCTACAGAATTAAAACAACTCTAAATAGCCACTCAACTATTCTAAACTTGACTGTGCACAAATGACAACACAACTGTTATGAAAAAAAAAATAAATAAAGTAGAGGATGAGCTCATTATGTCAGTATATAGCTTTTACTGCAAATGATTTTCAGTCATGGTGAAGACCTAGTTTTTGAGAAGCTTCCCAGAAAGTAAAGCCAATTAGATGGAAGCACAGCACAACAGGTCACGATTTAGGCCTCATGGTGAGAGGAAACGCTGGGGAAGTTAAAAATAAAAAGCCCCAGAGGTGACAGCATCTCCTGCTGGGCGCTGAGGGCAGGCCAAATACCGCGTCACGTTGGGGAGCAATGGAAAGCTGACTGTGGGCCGGCTCCCCGCTGCTCCTTCACAGATGGGGAGCAGGGCTGGCCCATATTCCACACAGAGCATTAAAGACGGGCACGCCATCTGGGAGGGTGAGGTGAGGAAGGCACCCTCATGTTCCAGAAACCCTCGCAACACTGGGCTTTTCTTTGGACTCCAGTTTGAGGCACACACCTGCCTTTGAACCCAAAGATGTATTTTCTGCGGTGTTACAAACTGGAGGAATTGTGCAGCTTATCAATTTTAATTCTTACTATCCTTGCTGTAACAGACAAATGTCGACATTTTGGTGGCAACCACTACACTCAGAAGACAAGATAAAGGCTCTACTGTCACTTTTCTCTGCACCTTACTATCTCAAGAGACAGTCACCAAGTTCAGTGCTCAAGATTTCTCACCAAAGCCACTGAACACTGCTTAGGACTGAAGATGTCATTCTAATACTTGAGTTAGTTGGACTCTTGGCCAGTATGAAAGAGCTGCACTTCTCTGAGCTAAGCTTGTTTCCATACCATATGAAAACCAACACAGCATGGCCACGAATCCTTAAAATATAGGATGATTAAACAGATATCAAATATCATACTAAATATATGCTCATAAGGATTTTATCTGGAACTTGCATTGGTCAAAATGTTTTCTCTAGTGCATTAACCCATATTCTGTTCCAATTGCTCTGTGAATTTGGGGGGAAATAAATACATCAGTAGTGAAACACTTATTTGAAAGATTCATTAGCTATACTGCAAATACACACAAATGGTAGCTTTCACAGATAATTCATTATTATTAATATTTATTTTGTAGACAAATAACATTCTGGGAGTATAAGTTTGCAGAAAAATTCTGGAAATAAGACTGACACAATTGGAGATCTTATCACAAGTCCCAGGAGGGCTGTATTTCCAGACTCACCCCAATCCATATTGCAGGGTGTAGGTTCAGTGATTTTGTGATGGATATGAAAGAGTGATGATGACAAAAAGTGCTTTACGGTATGAGGAAATCCCAATCTGATTTACTGGATGAGGAACAAGTTACATCGCCCAAAGAAGACTTTAATGAAGAGGACTCCCTTCCCTGAGAAAATTTCCATCATCAGCATTTTCTCATTTAGATATAATTTTTAAAACATTTTAAAGGAATGTAGCTGTAACTGCTATATCTGTTTGTTTTTTTTTTTCCCTGTGATGACAATAACCTCATGTATCAATTAGCAATGGCACATTATTTGTGTAGGGAACAGCTTTAAGTTATAGTTTATGCCTACGAGTAAGCCATGGGACCTGAGAGAATACAGAGGTGGATAAATTAATGATCTTATACATAACCTGGTGTTGACACATTTATTCTCTATTTGCATTGCGGCTTACAGATGGCCACATATTTTAAGGGCAGTGCACACAACCATTCATTGCTGCTTATGCTCATACATTCACAAACATAAATATTTTAAAATCAATGGTTTCAAGTGAATGCATTCATAAATATGGAAAGTAAATGCACTTTAAAACGAAGAAACAGCAACAAACAAGTTCAGTGGAAACAGTGAAATTACTTCAACTTTAGCTCCCATCTGTTACCACCGTGTCTATCTGAAATGGTAAAATCTGTCTCCTAAAAGAGGATTGACTGAAGCTGCCATCTTCCAGGTGTGGCTATCAACCACCACTGAAAACACAAGCACACAGCACTGACAGTATTGTTAATTTCATCAGTACTTTGCATAAGCTGTTTTCTGGTATATGACTTACAATCTGTAAGCGCTGTTAACCAAAGAAAGCAAAAAAGGCAAAAGATCAAGCCATTTTTGAGCAGATGAAAAAGAAACCCTAATTTTCTAGGACTTTATTACCTACGGCTGAAATTTTAGATGTCTTAAACTTTGTCTGAAGCTTGCCCTAGGCTTGAGGCATTTGAGACATGTCACTCCAAATGGACTCAATGATGTCTAATAGAAAAAAATTATGTTTAAGGTTTTCTCTGGTCAGTTGACCAACATGATCTTTTTCCTTTATTCAGCTACTTTTCCCACAAAAGCTGCAGAAATGTATTATGTTTAACATTCTGTTCTGCTCTCAAATTTCACTGAATCTGAATGATGGCTCAAACATTCCTTCTATAGAAATTGAGATTTGATTATATAAACTTTATTCTCTTAGAACATCAAGCTAAAAATGATCTGGTAAAGAGCGTTGTTGTACACACTCTGATACTGAAGCTATCTGACAGCCAACCAAACACACTAGAGCTCATTTGCCAAGTCGGAGAATGGAGATCAAAAACCCCTGGCCAGCTCACCTGGCAAGGAGAGAAGAAATGTCAGCAAAGGTTAGCACGCAGAAAGGCTCCAGTTCACATTAACTTTGGGGTGGAATAGTTATAAAATTCAGCTGATATTCAACTTCTAATTTGGCAAATGCAAAATTAGCTCTAGTGTCCCAAAATATTTATGGACAATGTGTCTTTTGTTTGAAATAGGATCAGATATTAAAGAGAGAAATATCTTACCCACTATGTAAACTCTAAGGAAATGTGCTAGAACACGAGGCCTGTATGTTCTCTCTTAACTGGAGGATTAAAGACTTCAGAGTAAGACTTCAGCACTTTAAGGAATATAATTATGAAAATGCTTTTACTTGAACTATGTAGTAAAAATGCACATTCCAGGAATTAAGAGAACTTTAAAGGCAGATGTGGCACGAAACCAGAAGAGCAGAAGTTGCTCCAGATGTACATTTACTACTAAATAATCACATCGCATAAAAGCAGTATGAGAAACTAATAATTTTTGTTACATCAACCATCAGCATAAAGCATGAAAATGAAGTCATCGCTCATAGCCCTCTTCAGAAAAAAACACTTCACTGACATCATCCTCGAGTACTTTGCAGAAATTTTCATAATTTTAGAGGTAGACTCTGAAATGAAATTAAAAGAAGGAAATGATCTAGTAGCTCA